TATTTGTTTAATCTTTTCTTTCAAATATTACTAAACCAATTGTTCTATTAATATGGAATCTTTACCAACTCACTGAATAATAGTGAGGTGAGGAGGGGATCTACTACCTATACAATATAATTTGTCCGAAGGGCAACGTATGTTAAAGTACCAAGATCTTTTAGAGTTTTTAAAAATATCAATCTTTGATTGATATTGATAAAAATTAATTTTCTAATTTTCAGAATTCATCTTTAACAATTATATATAGGTACTTGTATTTAATTATTTATAAATTTTAAACAAAATAAAATAATTTCAATTATAAAATTATTTATTTATATTTACTATTATTATTATTATTATTATTATTATTATTATTATTATTATTATTATTGCTTAGTGGATAATAGGAGGTTTTTCTCCTATTATTTATTTTTTTCTTCATCAACTTTATACAAATAGCAAACATGTCAAATATATCAAGTAATGGCTAAAGGTAATATTAATAACATAATGCAATAAATAATGACAAATTATTATACTGAAAATTATTATATTAATTATTATTTATAATATAATTGAAAAACACAAGAAAATTGATAAAAAAAGTAAATGAAAGGAGAAAAAAGTGTGGTTATAAAGTTAAGGATTTTCTCCTATTATTATTTAGTTTTTTCTTTATGAAGGGTGGTGAACGGATTGTTGGTCGCGCGCCTGTTTTGCTAGTTTTTAAAATAAGAAATGAATTTCTCGAAAAATCAAATTTATAAATTTTATTAAACTTTAGTACTATGGGTGAGTACTTCAACCATAAATTACACAGGCACACAAAAAAAAGTTGTCTGTTTCTTGAACTAGACATATATTTCCTATAGTATTTTGGCCCGCTAAAACCGAATCTGTGCTCAGAATTGCTCCATCACCCTCAGTTTTTTTTTAAATCGACCAAAACCACCCTTAAATGGACAAATTCATACTTCGGAGATAAAAAATAAATCAACTTATTTTTTTAAAAAATCGAATTTTACATCTAAGAAACTTTGCTCCACTAACTCAAAAACAAAGCCAGCATTGATCCAGCACCCCCTGAATTTTTTTAATTGAAAAAACTACCCCTAATCTGAAGAATCAAATTCAGGATGTAAAACAATAAAATAACTGATTAAAAAATTTTATAACCAGGTATTTTTACTCCAGCAAGGCAGAAACAAAGCCAGAAATGCTCCCTCACCCACTAAATTTTTTTTTAAATCGAAAAAACCACCCTTAAATAGAAAAATTCAAGTTTAATTAGTAAAAAATATTAAATTACTGGTTTTTTTGGAAAACAGAATCTTACATGTATGTAGTTTTGCTCTTCTAATTAAAAAAAGCCAGCATTTATCCATCACCCTCTAAATTTTTTTAATCAAAAAAACTACCCTTAATCTGAAGAATCAAATTTAGGAGGTAAAACAATAAAATAACTGATTAAAAAAGTTTATAACCAGGTATTTTTACTCTAGCAATGCGGAAACAAAGCCAGAAATGCTCCCTCACCCTCTAAAATTTTTTTAAATCGAAAAAACCACCAAAGAATCAAACTTAGAAGGTAATACAATATAATTATATTGTGTTACCTTCTAAGTTTGATTCTTCAGGTAAAGGGTAGTTTTTTTGATTAAAAAAATTCAGAGGGTGATGGATAAATGCTGGCTTTTTTGAGTTAGAAGAGCAAAACTACATACATGTAAGATTCTGTTTTCCAAAAAAACCAGTAATTTAATATTTTTTACTTATTAAACTTGAATTTTTCTATTTAAGGGTGGTTTTTTCGATTTAAAAAAAATTTAGTGGGTGAGGGAGCATTTCTGGCTTTGTTTCTGCATTGCTGGAGTAAAAATATCTGGTTATAAAATTTGTCAATCAGTTATTTTATTGTTTTATCTTCTGAATTTGATTCTGCAGATTAGGGGTAGTTTTTTCAATTAAAAAAATTCAGGGGGTGCTGGATCAATGCTGGCTTTGTTTTTGAGTTAGTGGAGCAAAGTTTCTTAGATGTAAAATTCGATTTTTTTAAAAAATAAGTTGAATTATTTTTTATCCCCGAAGTGTGAATTTGTCCATTTAAGGGTGGTTTTGGTCGATTTAAAAAAAAACTGAGGGTGATGGAGCAATTCTGAGCACAAATTCGGTTTCAGCGGGTCAAAATACTATAGGAAATATATGTCTATTTCAAGAAACAGACAACTTTTTTTTTGTGTGCCTGTGTTATTATTAAGTTTTATGCCAAACTTTAAAGGGGGGTGCGGGTTCAAGTTTCTCGTCAAATGTGAACAGTGGATTTCTTAAAAATTCGTAACTTCTATAAAACCCGTGTAGAAATTTTGTCGTGGTCCCGATCAGGCCCAGATCGGGGCCGAATTGGGATACCTCTATCAGGGCCAGATTAGGATGAAACACACGGCCCGCTGTGGGCCAAATAGGGGGCGCTAATAAAGGGACCCAAATGGAGCCCTATTCTGGCCCTAAATGCAGTTTGTTTTTTTAAATTAAATTTTTATTTATAAAACATTATTTTAAAAAACACAGCAAATGTATACTTTAGAATTAATTTATTTTAAACTTGAAATTATTTTTTATAGATAATTTGGATAATTTTTATAAATTTGGTATTTAAGAAAAAAAAGATTACCATTATTTTTATCTGGCTTTTCGCTTGCCTTCCCAATCTTTAGAGTTAGAAATTATTGTCCCGACATGTGACAGCACTTCTTCTTTACCAACTGTAAAATATTCAGCACAAACATCTAAAAAATATTAAAGTTTTTTTTAAATTTTTCAAACGCTTTTCATGCTTTGTGTACGCCTAGTAATAAAGAATTAACCCAGTGGGCACCAAGATATCTTTAGGATGACTTTAGAACGTTTTAAAGTGTCCTAGGACATTGTGTCAATAATCCAAAGACATAAAAAAGACGACTTAAAGACGCCCAAAGTATATTCTACGTCTTCCCGAGAACAGTCTTAAGAATGTCCTAAAATTGTCCCAAAAATGTTTTTATTCCACTATAGAAAGTCCCCACAATGCCCTAAAAATATCTCTGAAATATCAAAAATTGTTCTCAGAGTATCCTAAACATGTTCCAACCATATCCTGAGAATGTCCCAAATATGTACTGAGAAAATATCAAAAATATGCTGAAAATGGTTAAGTAATGTACTAAAATATTACAAAATCTTTGATAACCTAAATGAATATTACGTTGAAATTATGTATACTTCATAGGCTAAAGAGCGCGTAATGTAAAGGGTATTAAGTCTTAAACGCCAAACGACCCACAACACCGAACTACTCTTGAAGATCCAAATACACAAAAAAAGTATATCGCGATTACTGGTCATATATATTGATCCTTCCAAATGGTCACGGTCATCCACTGGATGTCCCAAGGACATCCTTTTCGGAACGTTCTTGGGACATTGTTAAAAAGTCGTTCTAAAGATATCCTTAGGACATCCCAAAAATTTCCCTAAAAAGGCATCCTGTAGATGTCAGAATGAATGAAATAAAGACATCCAGAACAAGATCTATGTCTGGCCTAGAGCAGTTACAAAAATATCCTTAAGAAGCTTTAAAGATATTTTTGAAAATTATGGAAAAAATTTGATTCTTTTCAGAACATTTTTTAGACATATTAAGGATATTACAAAGAAGTCTGTTTAACATTTTTTGGACATGTTTAGTACATTCTCAGAACATAATCCTTTTTCAACGAATTAGCCCATAAGGATCAATATATATGACCAATAATCGCGATATACTTTTTTTGTGTATTTGGATCTTCAAGAGCACTTCGGTGTTGTGGGTCGTTTGGCGTTTAAGACTTAATACCCTTTACATTACGCGCTCTTTAGCCTATGAAGTATACATAATTTCAACGTAATATTCATTTTGGTTATCAAAGATTTTGGAACATTTTAATACATTACTTAACCATTTTCAGCATATTTTTGATACTTTCTCAGGACATATTTGGGACATTCTCAGGATATAGTTGGAACATTTTTAGGATACTCTGAGAACAATTTTTGATATTTTAGAGATATTTATAGGACATTCTAAAGACGTATTTTACAAATTTTGGGGAAAATTTCAGGACATTCTTAAGACGTTTTTAGACATTTCGGGGATATTTTTAGGAAATTCTGGGGATTTTCTATAGTCGTAATAAAGACATTTTTATAGGACAATTTTAGGACATTCTTAAAACTGTTCTAGGGAAGACATAGAATATACTTTGGGCGTCTTTAAGTCGTCTTTTTTTTTGTCTTTGGAACATTGACACAATGTCCTAGGACACTTTGGAACGTTCTAAAGTCATCCTAAAGATATCTTGGTGCCCACTGGGTTATGGGCTAATTCGCCGAAAAAGGATTATGTTCTGTGAATGTACTAAAAATGTTCAACAGACTTCTTTGTAATATCCTCAATATGTCTAAAAAATGTACTGAAAAGTATCAAATTTTTTCCATAATTTTCAAAAATACCTTTAAGGTTTCTTAAGGATATTTTTGTAACTGCTCTAGGCCAGACATAGAACTTGTTTTGGATGTCTTTATTTCATTCTTTTTGACAAGATGCCTTTTTAGGGACATTATTTGGATGTCCTAAGGATATCTTTAGAACGACTTTTTAACAATGTCCGAAGAACGTTCCGAAAAGGATGTCCTTGGGACATCCAGTGGATGACCGTGCCCATTGGGAAGTTAGTTACCTAATAAACTTTTACAAAACTCCGTATCTTTAAATAAATTTTTGTGTAGCATTCTTTTTGATGCAGTAAAAGTTCCTAGTAGGTCACTCATGAAATTTTTTTAAAAATTACAGATATCGATTTTCGAATTCCTGAGTCTTTGTTCATTTTTAAATCCATATAAGCTTTCTGAAAAAAAATATTTTATTAATATAAAAAATGTCAGTAATATGTACGAGCGAAATCAAAGAATATAAAGCATAACTAACAAATCGATTACAACATGCTTCATTTGTTGACACTTGCAAATCAAAATCGTTAAATTCTTAAATTGTTTTAAATGGTAAATACAAATTGAATTGGACTTCAAATTTTTTTTGTCCTGCGTATATAGTAGCTTTGTTTACTTGGATAATAGTTTTCAATACTGTTTGATTTTCAATTACTTCATCAACTTTAGAATTTAATACTGCAAGTTCTTCGAGTACCAAATCTGTAATGGAATGACATAACCACATAATTAACATTTTTATTATCTACAGAGTAAAATTTTTTGGTAAAATAGAAACTGATCTTAATAAAAATGAAGTCAAATTAAAACTTTTATACTCACTCAAATCTGTTATTGATATTTTATTTTCGGCGACATTTTTTCTAAATATTTCTGCACAAAATACATAAATATTTATATTAGATTTTAAGAGAATATTATTTTAATAAAAGATTATTATTTATTTGTAGTTATATTCAGATTGTATTTTTTTATTATTAAAAATTAGTATTTTTTCTCACTGAAAGACGTTGTTGATGAAGAAGGTTTTGCCAAAGATTTTTTGTCAGTGTTTTTTTTCCTTAATTTTTCTGCAAGAAAAAAATTCCCAACTATTAGTGTTTTGAAAAATAGCCTTACTCATATATTTTTACCAACAACATTTCTTTCAATTGCTTTTAATTTTTTTGAATGTCGAATTTCATTAACCTTCTGAATTATTTTTTATAGAAATATAAAAAATTTATAAGTGCGTACATTATTATTATTATTAACTATTATTTACCATCGATGTTTTCACTGTCACTTTCGCCATCAGTGCATTCTTTATTTATTTCAAACCATTCGGTTCAATATACAAACATCAAAAATTACAATAATAAATATAACATATATAATATAACATGTCAAGCGCATAACATTTTTTCGATCATTCCTATACGAATCTTTTTATCTCTTCTGCAGAATGAGATTCGATCACTTTTATCCAAAATCCTATTTCATGCTCGCAACCATACACATTCGGGAAGCATTTTGTTTTTATATCCCGGAATTTCTTGCATTCTACTAAGAAGTGGCAGAAACTACCCCTCTCAAAGCACCAGTAGGAATCAACCCATGATTAAGATTCAATTACTTTATTTTTTATCATCAAAAACCTCCTTCTCTGTTTATTGATAAGTCTCATTTGAACAATTGCTTTTTTCAAGTACAAATTTAAACGTTCCAACAGGTAAGGCTGGGGACCCGGCTGAATCTCAAAAAAATGGCCACATCTCGAGACTTTTAGATTTCGACCTGGCCTCCAGATCACGTCGAACGTAATTACTTTTGAAATTAGTGACTATTTCGTCCGAATTTAAATTTACTTGATTAAGATTCAAATCATTTCAAGTGTCTAACGAATCGCTTTCAATAAAAAAGTGCATAATTTGACAAAACCAATTGAACCTATGGTCGGTGAAACCACCCCTCGCAAGCGCAATCAGCCTCTCCAGACACAGTCTTGGCAACCTAGTATTTTCCATTTTACTTAATTTTTAAATCCAAGACAGAGTCCTTGAGAAGACGTCGCATGCCAGGTGCAGCCTACCCGACTCCAAGCGCACCGTGTAATCTGCAGTGGCGGATCCAGCCGTCTCTCCAGGGGGGGGTCATGATATATATATATATATATATATATATATATATATGTATATATATATAAAACTGCAATGTTTATTATAGTCATTTATTGACTCTTTTGAAAACAGTAATAAATTTTAACAAATTAAATATAATTGTTATTTTCTGCATTAAAAAAACAAAAGTTATAAGATAAAATCTATTTTTCTTTTTTTCCGTCCAAAGCGATCGATAACCTCTTCATCATTAACCTCGATCTGATGGTGGATATTCAACAATGCTAATCCTGTAAGACGCTCTTCTCCCATAGTTGATCGAAGCCAGGTTTTGAGCCGACGCAATGTTGAAAAAGACCTTTCTGCTGTCGCTCCACTCACTGGTATAGTTGCAAGAATATGTAGACATTTTTTGACATTTGGGTAGAGATCACTGTCACATACGTCAATTATTTGGGGTATTGTTTGTGGAATTTTCGTCCCATTATTTAATGTAAGCTTGCGTACAACATGTAGATCATGCTCATCATAGGTTGATTTTGGTAAAAATACATTTAACTCAAACAGCTTCATTACTTCAGGAGAAAGTCTGTCTTGCAACTCATTTATGATGTGATCCAAAAGAGGTATGTATATCGACCTGCGGTAGTATTCTTCAACAGATTGTGCTGGCAGATTATTAGCTCGATGAATTTGTCTGTTAGTTATACGAGGAGATCGCAGCTCTACGTCTAACTGTTCCGCAATTTTTTTGGCGTCAGAGAACAACTGATGAAAAACTACATCAGCATTTTCTCTTTTTTGCTGTAATATAGTTATTATGTCAGTTATTGCATCCATGGCATTTTTCAAATCTATTGAAGCTGTCTGAAATAAGCGACTCAGTGAAACAGTTGCCCCTGAAAATACAAAATAGTTAAACTAATCAGTTAAAAATGTAGTATCATAAAAATAGTTTGATCTTTTACTGTGAGAACTAAGTAATACAATATTAAAAATGTCAGGCAGATACACAGACTGTTCTTTTTGTAAAGTTATAGAATTTACTTCAATTATAACTATAACTCAGTTCAAAGATTTTGCGGAACTTGAATAAAACTGTGGGCTCAAAGATAATTATTTAATATAAAATATATTGCTTACCTAAAATATCGTTTAAACAAACAGAAGACACAATGAAATCAGAGCTTCGGAGTGCTTGAAGTAAACAATGAGCATCACTAGCAGTATTTCTATCTTTCCACAAAGAAATTCTTTCTAAGGCATTACAGATTTTCAGTAAGTTGTCGCCTTGAAATTGTAGATGTCCATCAAGTCTTTCGACCCAACGAGTTTCACAAATTCCCTTCATTGAATTTCCAATTTCCTCAACAAATACTTCATGTCGTTTAGCTGAAGCATTTGCAAAAGCAACAATTTTTCTCATTGTACCAGAAGTATTACGACACGAAGCAACTTTAACGGATTTCTCCAAAGCATTATTTAAAACGTGATTGTTACATGGCGAACGTTTAGCATGTTTAGCTTTTTTTATTAATTCTTGAACAGCTCCTTTTACTTCAGATGCCATAACCGCACAACTGTCAGTACAAATCCCCACACACCAGTTTAAATCTATATTAAATTTGTAACAAAGATTCTTTACAATTTTGGCCAAAGCTTCACCTGTCAATCGACGCTCTTGGTCGCATTCAGACGTTTTGCTATCCGCTATCTTGTCTTCCTTTTCATATCGGAGCATCTCGTACGTGTTACAGAAAGTTATAAACTTCTCTAATATTTTATCATTGTGGAAATATCTAAAAGAAAGACTTAGTTGCTCAATATGTGATATGTCAGTTGTTTCATCGAATATAATTGAAAAAAATTTAACTTCCTTTAAATCATGTATAATTTTTTCCTGTATAATTTCCTTACAAACGTCAATCAATTCATTTTGTACAGTTTTACTGATGTAAGTAGCATTACTCTTGGCGGTTTCCAAATGTTGTTGTAATACTTTGTCACCAGAGTTTATGCGAAATTTTAAAAGAGCTCTAAAATTTCCATTTTCATTTGCTACCAAACTATCGTTCAAAACTTGCTTACTTTTACTTGTACTCGAAAGCATCCCATCATCTCTATGACCACGCAATGGAATATTTTGGCGACCACAAAAGATAATCGTATTGACAATTGGTTGTAGGCGGCTTCTATTTTCTTTTATTTGAGCCATGCGTTGAGTAAAAACTTGGTTAGTAACATCAGCAGCAGGATCAAAAAAACTTTTAAGAAAATTTTTTCCTGATTCAACGGCCATTCGGTGGTACTCATTGTTTTCGTGTTTTAAAAGGACTCCATTTTCACCCGTTAATTTATGGAATGCAGTTAAAGGTTCTTTAACCAGTCTCTTAAGTGGCGTTCTATTTTGGAAACCTCCTCCTGTAGATGTCACAAAAAGAGCACAATATATACAGTACAGTCCGCGATCTTTGGGTGACAAAACAAGCCAATGAAATTTAGTAAGATGTGATCTTTGAGCGTACTTTTTTGTTTCTTTTACATTTTTTTTCACAACATTATAAGGAAATTTGTAATTATCAGGTGGCGTCCAATGTTGCTGAAGTAATTTACTTTTAGTTTCGTCACTTATCTGCTTTCCTATATAACAACCAATGTCTGATGCCAAATCAGATTGAGAAGGCGGATTAATGGAATCATCATTACAAGACGCATTCTTTGGCAATTCAATTGCAGCGTCAGGAACAGAAGCATCAGAGACATCAATTTTTGGTATTAGGGAATTTTTTTCCACAGATTCGACAGCATCTAATTTTGGTTTTTTTACGAAAAAACTATCAATTTTTCTAATAGAATCTTCACTTTTTGAACCACCACCTTTTCTCTTTAAATCACCCTACACCAAAAAAAGAAAAATCGCATTTTATAGCAAATAAGAGGAGCTAAAAACAAAAATAACAGATGTTTACTAATGTACTCACCATAATTATTCTTTCCAAAGTGTATATTTTTTACATATCCACTTAAACAAAATTCAAAAACTTATTTGTGAGGTTAGAATAAATAAAAATGTTGTTTGGAAGGATAATTATTTTACAGAACGCAAAATAACTTAAACAACGAAACGTATTTGAACAATATTTCAAACAGAACGAGGTAAAGAAACATGCAAGGTTAAAAGCACAAAATATAAAATCCAATGAAACGGAAAAATGTCGATGAAATATTTACGTCGAATAGAAGAAATCTTTAAATAATAAGACTTTATTAGTTTCAGTTTAAGTTTTTTAAATTATAAAAGGCAAAAGTGTAAACTTACACAACATAACCCCTAAATCAGAATTGAACTACAACTTTCGAGTTGTATGTCATTATTATATTCGAAACGCACTAAAGTCAAACAATAATGTAAAACACATATATATCAGATTTATTTTCTTAGCAAAACTTCCAATTTCATGTCAATAGAGCATTCTATAAACGAATCGTTGTCCAGTGATAGAACTTGCTGTTTTCAACAAAAACCTTCGAGTTACCAGAATCGATTTCTTGACAATCGATTCTCTCAGAAATCGATGGTTCGACCTAAGAGTCAGAGTGGGGTCACAATTTAGAAAGGTTGCCAAAGCATTTAAAATCATGGAAACTGTGCGAATCAGATTAAAAGCTCTAATATTAGTAAAAAATAGACTACCAGAACACAAGATAGAGAAATTTATATGTAAAACTTCTGTACGCAGGTCTAATATTTGAACCACAAACTCGGATTAAAAGGTTTTAATTTTTTCTTACTCCAGACTCCCAGGGGGGGGGTCATGACCCCCATGACCCCCCCCTTGGATCCGCCACTGGTAATCTGGAGTATTGGTCGGTAACCACAAAAGCTTTTTGAAAATAAGGATAGTTGGATTTTTTTCAAGTAAATCCATGCCATTCATCCCCCATACCTGTATCCCGTATAATAAAATGCTTTCTATTAAACTGTCAAAAAGTCTAGCATAAGTTGACCACGTGTTGGCTTTGAGGCTTTTGATAATATTCATAGTTGTTCCTATTGACGCATTTGCTGAACTTACAACTTTTTTCGTGTTAGCGGAAAAGGAACACAACCCCGAAAACAATACCCCCAAATACAAATAATCTTTCACTACCTCAGTTTTTTCGTCACCGTAGCTAAAAGATCTAAAATGCCTCCCCAACAAGTTGGCGTCTTTTCGGAAAATTCCAATTTTCGTTTTATTTGTGTTGACGACCAAATCATTACGTAAACAGTACAGTCTTAATGCTTCGAGCTTTCTCGAGAGTTCAAAAGGTGTGTCCGACAACAGCACGATATCGTCCGCGTATGCCATGACCAATACTTCGATTAAACTTTTAACGGCAAGACCCCTACACCGCTGTGACTTTAAAATTTTCTCTAGATCACTAATAAAAATCGAGAAGAGTTGAGGACTCAATACCTCCCCCTGCAAAACTCCCCTATTGACCTACACAAAATTTGTCAAGTCCTGTCCAGTTTTAATCGCCGTGGAAGCTTGATCGTAATATCTCCTTAAGACATTTATAATTTTTGTACTCAGACCCATCGAGTGCAGTTTCGTCCATAACAAGTTATGGGAGACGGACGGGAATACGCCTTTAAAATCTACAAACGCCGCATATACTACACCTCGCGGGTGTCGAAAATGGATCTGAATTAATGCCTGTAAAGAGAATAAATTATCCAAGCACCCCCTTTCCCTCCGAAATCCCACTTGAAATTCTGGGATAACTTCCGTCTCATCCGTCCAAGTTACTAATCTTTCCGCCAGCACCTGGGTAAAGATTTTCACCTCACAGTTCACCAAAGTAATTTCTCTATAATTTTCCGGCTTACTTTGATTACCTTTTTTATGCAACATGGAGATTACCAAGGAACCAGATGCACGCGGTACTTTCCCCGAGTCAAAAATTTTGTTAAAAAACTGCTCCAAGTAAAAAATCCAAGGCCAGCTGCTTTATTGTCTTTGAATTTTTTTAAACTATTTATAATTTCACTTGTGTCTATATCCCCCTCTATCCTCCCTACCTCATCCCTCCAACGCATACTATTTATAAAATCATTCATTAATTAATTCATTCATTAAAATATAAAACTACGGGAATGCGGTCGGAAAAGGTTGCCAGGGTTAACACTTTTAAATCTTCTATTGTCTCGATACAATTTATAGATGTCCAAACTAAATCTGTCACGCTTTTTCCCTGATGACCGTTAAATGTCCAACTGGCCGGAATGTCCGACCTTCTTCTACCATTTAATAAAATAATTCGGTTATCCTACATATAATTAATCAATTTTCTACCTCTCGCCGACCACCCATAAAAACTGGTAAATGATCATAGCTCTTTAATAGGTGTCCAAGATTGTTCAAAATTAAATATAAAATCATTAAGACTAGCTGTAGGCGATGTATATACAACACAAAGTATAAATTCAAATTTATGTATTTTGATTTTAATAATTAAAAATTCTTTATCCCCCGCTAATAACTCTGACTGGTATATTTTTTTCTTTAAAGCTATCAAAATACCTCCCTTAAATCTTCCTCTCTCTGCATCCCTCCACGCTGGAGAAAAAAGAATCTGCATGTCCTCTGAAAAAAGGGAGTTGAATTGATCAGCTACATTGGTCCAAGTCTCGTAGACACATATTATATCCTCCTTGCAGACGGATGTCTTCAAATCCCTAACGTTAAAGATTCCGTGTGCATTCCAGAATACAATTTTGTGAGCGTTTCCATTATTAGATATAGTATTCCCTCGCTTGACATTCGGGCTATTTGTCTCTCTCTGAAACCGAATGGGTAATTGTTAATCAGTTCGGAGTGGCTGCTTGTAGGAGGTGTCTATCATTGATGATGTCACAATAGTAGTAGTCGCTGATGATCCAGGGGGGTACAATAGGTATGAGTCTAAAGGGCCTCCCTCCGCAGTCTTCTTCGCCTGTTTTGGACGACGACCCCTTCTCTTTGGTTCCTTAAACTCCCCATCCAGGTCCACCTCTCCTTCTTCTCCCCCTTCCTCTCCTTCTTCTTAACTAGTATGAACTTCGTTTTTGCGTTTCTTAACAACACTTTGCAATTTAAGATGCGCTTCCTCTTCACTAGTTTCCAGAGAATCAATGAGAAGTCTTCCCTTTTTAACGACAGCATTAATTCCCACATCTCTCAGCTTATTAGCCAGGTTGGCAATCCTCCTTCTATAATTGCACCTCCCTTTTCAGGTCATTGTGAGACTTAGTGAGATTATCAATAGCACTTGTTAAAACACCGATGGCATCCTGTAATTTATCCATACTTGCGATAAGAAAAAAAACAGTTACATAGTCACCTTATCACATATGCCTTATGAAACCACTCAGATGCAACAAAATGCAAAATGCCACTTGAGAAACGGAGCACCAACACTCGGTTCGATTATCCGGTAAAGAAACAAAGAAAGATCTTAGTTTAAATGTACAAAACAGCACTACCGGCACAAACAGCACAAGCAAGTTCAAAATTAACGAACGAGAAACAGACACGTCTGCTCACGACGAAAGCCAGAGAGAGAATCCTTCGCCATCAGTGTAGAATAATAAATGACCTAAAATTTTAAGAAATACATTTTTTTATTCACAACAAAAATTTCCAATAAAGTTTGAAACTTACTAAATTCATTACTTGATTGAGAATGTTGCAGAGTAGTTCTTATTCTTTTATTTTTATGCAGAAGCTCTGAATCACCCTTGTCTAGTTTGTTACCATTGTCGCTATCAGTGTTATTGTCATCTTGAAATTTACTTGCTTTTTGTTTTCTTTGCGAATGTTCTTCATTGGAAAAGTCTGTATTTTAATTTTTATTTTCCATACTAGTTATATAATTTTAGCATATACTCACTTAAATCCGCTGTTGACGTAGAAGGCAATGAGTTTTGATCAATTTTACAACTTGTTTTGGCTGCAAAAAATAAATGAAAAATTTTATTAGAATTATAAATAAAGTTAGTTTGGAGATTTATATGCAGTTAAAAATTATATATATTTATTCAAAACAATTATAAATGAAGGTATATTTTTTTACTGACTAAAATTATTTTTTGATGATGGAATCATCAAAGTTTTTCCTCTGAAATTTTCTACTGGAAAAATAAATATTTACATTTTATATTTTTTTAAAATATATTTTTACCATAATCAATACTTTAAAATTTTTGAATTTTAAAACTTATTATTAATCTTCTAAATGGTTTCTTATTAAAATACAAAAAACTTATAATAATGATTTTCATTATTTCATATAATTTTTCATATAATTGACACTTAAAATAATTTACCGTCATTGTTTTCATCGCCACTTTGGTCAGCAACGTTAGAATATGATTCCTCTGCAATTTTTTTATTCAATCAACGGGACTAACCCTTTTATACAAAAGTAGTTCTTAAAATTACGTTCATATATAATGAAGAATACAGTAAAAAATAATTACATCTAGGTTGGCATGTTATGACTTTTATTAAGTACTAATCTGCGTAGCGCTGATGTGAATCTAATTAAACTGTTATCAAAAAAATCAATTTCATTAGAAATTGCATTAGCTTCTCTACTGAGTCTAGTTACTAAAGCATTATTTCCATAATTAGTTCTATGAAATGTGAATGAGAAAAACAAATAGTTTCGAGTAATTCTTGTTGGAACCGACAAATTGATCAGTGATAGAAGAGGGGGGCAATCATTCAAAAGTCTGTGCAGAAAAATTAAATCCGCGTAAAGAAATCTCGTTGTAATCATGGGAATGTTTAGTATAGTTCTCCAATTGCTGTAATCCTGAGCTTGTGTGTCGAAAGGAATATTAAGCTGTATTGCGGCAAATCTAAGAAATCTATTTTGAACATGTTCAATTCTAATAATGTTATACACATAAATTGGTGACCAGATAATAGAGGCATATGCAATTATTATCGACTTGACAAGTGTAAAGTATAAGACCCTTAATGTACCAGAATTGTGAAAGACTGATGCACATCTCATTACACTGGAACTCCTGAAGGTGAGTTCTCTGAAGGTGAGAACGCGACGGGGGGTTAAGTGGATAAGAAAGATAAGGAAATTCCTGCTCAAGATCAAAATATTTCTTATAATAATGATCGCGATAACTTAGTTTCACTGTTTAATATTATTCTACCATCTGGCAATTTTAATGACATTAAAATTTGGAGAATTGGGACCTTCTCTGATTCACGTGCCAAACCACGTCCTTTGAAAGTTATTGTGCCCAACAATTTATGTGCTTTGCAGATTCGAATGAATTTCATGGACTATGTCAAACAGAAAAAACTACCTCCCGAGTTTCAATCATTGACTGTAGTTCAGGATCGTACGAAACAACAACAACTTCTGTTTCAACAAGTCAAGGAAGAGATGCTAATGAGGATATCAAAGGGAGAAACAAATTTAAAAATAAAGTACCGCTTGGGTACACCTATGATTGCCGAAGCAACTTAAAAAATAACAACATTTCTTACTCTGCAACTAATAATAAATCATGTTCTTCTTTTCGTTTATTCTATCAAAATGTTAAGGGTATGAACACTAAGTTTGTAGCGTTTAAGTGCTATCCTTTTATAAAAATTTTTTTTGATTTTTTTTTATAACTGAAACATGGTTAAAACCTATTGTGTCATCTGATGAATTCTTTGATTTATCGTTATACCATGTTTTCAGGAATGATCGTGTTTTTGCTAAAGGCGGAGGTGTTTTGATCGCTGTCAATTCTATTTTCAATGTAACTCAAATTGATTTTAGTGATGTATTTGATTCAAACTATATCATTGATATATTGGGTGTTATTATTGTTTTTCATACTATTAAATTTATCATTATAGCTATTTATATTCCACCTGATATTAGTCTTAAAAATTTTAGACATTTTTTTGGTTCACTCTTAGACTTTACGTTACTAAATAGTAGCTCCTATTTTTTATGCTTGTTTTCAAATTAATCGCTTAACTGAAAACTTAAAACCTGATGCTGAATTATTGAAGTTACCCATTTATGGTCCTATTGGATCGCGGGTATTAATGTTAAATAAATAAATAAATAAGCGGGACGAACAGCAGCACTCTGAAAACAGGAGCGTTTGATTTTAGTGTTCCATAGGCCCCCGTTTCAGTAGTCGCAAAAATGAGTGCTAAGAAGAGTAATAATTTCTTGAACACAGAAGTCAAAGCTCAAATTAAAAAAAAATTTTATAATCAAAACACAAAATTTATCAATTTTTGTGTACATAAGTACTACAAATTCCAATGACACATTATATTCCTCTATACTATAATACGTACGGCCCTGAGTGTTTACAATATTTGACCGCCAAACGGCTTGAAGGTCGAATTCTGAAGGTGAGAACCAAATCTTTTCCATTTTCACCTTCGGGAGTTCCAGTGCATATACCCCAAAGATCTCAAAGCTCTAGACACCACTTCCGAGATATGATCATTAAAAGAGAAGTCGTTAGTCAATAGTAAACCCAAATTCCTTATTCTATTTTTTCTCATTAACTCCTCCTCACCAATTGTATAGCGATACACTATGTACCTCTTTTAGAAAAAGAAATAACACAACTTTTATTAATGTTAATGGTCATGTGATTACGGTCACACCAACTTGAGAGACGGTTAAGATCTGCTTGCAAATCCGAAGAGTCACGACACGAGTTAGTAGAACTAATCATCCTATAACACTTAAGATCATCAGCATACAATAGGAAAGAGGAGAAAAAAGACAGTTTTAATGTTGTTCATATATAACACAAAAAGTAGTAGTCCAAGATGAGATCCCTGAGGAACGCCAGAGGTTGCAAAAAATGGATCAGAATAATTATTATTTATTTTGACAACTTTACACCTATCAGAGAGATAACTTTTGAAAAAGGAAACTAATTCGACAGACAAACCCAAGGAATCAAGTTTTTGTAATAAAATATAATCCACTCTATCAAACGCCTTAGAGAAATCAGCATATATTACATCAATCTGGTTACCAGTTTCAAGATTATTACATAGATAATTTTTAAAAATTCCGAGGTTAGTCACTGTAGAACGGCCTGAAATGTTTAAGAACATATATTCTATTTACCTGAATTTTTAATGCTAATTTAACGAAATTAAATGTTTTTTTTAACAAAATAGTTTTGTGTATTCAGTTTTAAACTTATCAAATTCATCAGCTGAAAATTTTTTATTATTATTAATAATCAGGGTGTCCAGCAATTATTGAAAAAAATTCAAGAACTTTTCAAGGTTTTCCAAGGTACAAAATAATTTTTTTCATGTCTAATTTTGGCATAATAACTATGAAAATATTTTTTATATATGATCAAATAAGCTTTATTTATATTGTTCATATTATATACTTTTTGCCTCTAAAAATACATTTTGATTGGCTGAAATCTATTTTAATAAAATAATCTACCTTATGTTATTTCAACGTAAATGTCAACCGTATATGATCAAAGACATTTAACTTTAACTATTTTTGTAGAAAATTGTGGCACATCTAACACATCGTCAAAGGTTCTTTTTATTTGATCTTCAATTGTTTTGTTTTTTTTATTCATTTCCGGATCTGTGGTGTAAGCGAATTCTTCTATTCTCAAAACAGTAAGCCTCTCAACAGCTTACTCATAAGTATCTAAGGCAAGAATTAAATCAATTAATAATTTATTAATACTTATCCCTAATTTTTGCGTTCAGATCAATGCAAACAAATTTTAACTCTATACAATAATAATTTTTAAAATTAAATTATCAAATTTTTTTACAAATGAAAGAAAAACTATACCTGCATGTTCTACTATCTGAGTGCTATATTCTAGCCAGCTTTCATGTGGAGCTTCTTTACGTCTCATCAAATCATACATAAATTTAGTACTTTTTTCTGTATATGGTTCTGGCATATATTCTGTAACAAAAGTGTTTTTTCTTTATCAAATCTAATCCATTTAAGTAATGTAATGTCCACGGATTTTGTTGAAGACTTTTTTTCCGGTATTAATAAAGTTGACTAACTGATACGGTTTTAAATCCAAGATGTGTGACATGATTATCTCTTAAAATAAAAATAATAATCTATTACAATATTTTTAAATGTAGTATTTCAATTATGTATATATTTCTCTAAAGTTTTTTTTTTAAAGTAGAAAGTGAGATTTGACAATTGATAAGAAATAAAAGATTCAGTAGTAAATAAAACTTTAAGGTTATGTTTGACATAAAGAAAAATAAATTATTCTCATAAATCGGGAACAAAAATTCAGCAATTAACAAAAAGTATATACTATCTATTAATTAACTATTCTTACCTTAAAGGATGATGTCCAATTTATTTTTTGATAATATTAGATAAAATCACGTTGTCAAATTACTAAGTATCAGCAAAATCCAAAAACACCCAGTGTTAAAAATAACAAAGTTCTAAATGAAGTTGTTCTCGATCGCAGTGTTGGTAACGTAAGAAAGCAAAACAACAGTAATATTGTTAGCTTTATTATTTGTTTCCATTATTATTGGTTTTTTACTTTAAATTATTTATTTATTTTATTTTTACACGGGCAGTGCCCTTTAATTAATTCCTAATTTTTTTTTTTTTGCGCAAGGGCAAGCGTGGAAATCTGCTACACCAAGGAGGGAATTACAACTCCAAGGATCAGACCGTCTCAGGGAGGCGCAACAATTTCTTCGAGGTGTGCGGGGTTGGCTTTCTACTTCTGTATAGGCCGACCCGCTAAAACCACACCCTTTTCTTGGAACCGTTTACTCTTACTTGCGGAACTGCCGTCTGGCTTTACATTTCGCAAGTAAAACGGTTCCCTTACCTTCACCTTCCGGTTCCGGAACTTCGTAGCCTACTCTTCCTTCAATTGCTCAAGGCTGGACAGAGAGGAGAGGGGATCTAAATTCTCTTAATCCCCCTTCTGCTTGATCCCTGCCGAGCATTTAAGCATCTCCCGGTCAACCTGGGTCTTCCGTCTTTATCCTTTGTCGACATAACCTTTATGACAAAGGTTTCGATATGTCTCCAGGAGTCCACACTTTGGAGCATGATAGAGACCATGGTATCGGGGTTGAATCGAGTCTCAACCGCCGTAAACACGGCTTCTCTATCCTCGCTCCAGTGCTCACAGGAAAATAGCGTGTGTTCTGCGTCATCGATTTGATCATCGCAGTACACGCATTTCGAAGCTTTTCTTATTTTAAATCTATGGAGGTAATGGCCGAAACAACCATGACCTGACAACGCTTGTGTCAGGTAATACCCAACTTCGCCGTGCTCTCTATCAAGCCAGGTGGCGAGGTGAGGAATCAGGCGGTGTGTCCACCTTCCTTTTGAATCCCCATCCCATCTCTCTTGCCATCTTTCAACGAGACGTTTCCTCGCTTCATTGCGAATAGCCGCCTTTAGGCTATTACAGTTCTCTTGTTCCAGCGAGCCCGCTAGGTCCTTCCTTAGCCTAAAGACCTCCTGTCTTTCTCTCGACAGTAAATCTACTGGCGGAGTGCTCGCCAGAACTAGGACTGCACTCGTTGAAACCGTTCTGTAGGCTGAAACCCCTCTCCGTGCACAGCTTCCGTGTACGGAGAGTAGCTTATCAGAGATGCCGCGGTTCTTTAGGGCTTTATCAGCCCATGCAGGGGCAGCATAGAGCATAGATTATCTCTTAAAATAAAAATAATAATCTATTACAATATTTTTAAATGTAGTATTTCAATTATGTATATATTTCTCTAAAGTTTTTTTTTTAAAGTAGAAAGTGAGATTTGACAATTGATAAGAAATAAAAGATTCAGTAGTAAATAAAACTTTAAGGTTATGTTTGACATAAAGAAAAATAAATTATTCTCATAAATCGGGAACAAAAATTCAGCAATTAACAAAAAGTATATACTATCTATTAATTAACTATTCTTACCTTAAAAGATGATGTCCAATTTATTTTTTGATAATATTAGATAAAATCACGTTGTCAAATTACTAAGTATCAGCAAAATCCAAAAACACCCAGTGTTAAAAATAACAAAGTTCTAAATGAAGTTGTTCTCGATCGCAGTGTTGGTAACGTAAGAAAGCAAAACAACAGTAATATTGTTAGCTTTATTATTTGTTTCCATTATTATTGGTTTTTTACTTTAAATTATTTATTTATTTATTTTATTTTTACACGGGCAGTGCCCTTTAATTAATTCCTTATTTGATTTTGAAACGACAATCGTATTTAATATTTTCTTAATTAATATTAGAAGTAATATGTAAAAAGGAAATCTTAATTTTGATTTTAAATATCAAAAGTATGGTTTTTTAAGATTTAAGGTTATCTGCACTGTTAGAAACTGTAAGGTTACCATAGTAACAGCAAGGTTGTGTTCAAGATTTTGGCGCGTAAATTTAGTTTTTAAAGTATATTCTTTATACTTTAACTTTAAAATGTCTGTACCATCAGATTTTAAAATTTCAATTTTGTATGGTTTTTTTGGTTTAGGAGAGTCAATTTTTTGTAACTCATGTAGTCTGCGACAAATTTGAGGCAAAGGGCGATGTGGAGTTGGTATGAGGTTGCACAGTTTTCACAAAAAATTTTCAATTGGAGAAACAGAAATTTTGTTGATGTTACACCCCATTGATAAAACATCATCAGTAACGTAAATCGCACACTGCATATTTAAAACTTGCATTTTTAAATAAAGTTTACGTAATTGTACAAAAAAAATTTGTAAATAAACTTTTGCATGCTGCTGATATTTTTTTAATAAATTGTCACAGCATAATATTCTACTGGCCACATGTAGCACTAAAAAATTATTATACCGATTTATATTCAAAATTTTAAGTAGGACTATGGGACCACAATATAAAAGGAAAAATCAGTATTCCGTGGCTTTCCATTTTTTAAAGGATTTTAGAGACCTAGTTTTACGCTGAAATTCACAAGGAATACATTTTCTTATTAAGATCAATCGTCTTGAAACCTCTTTTTTTAAACGCTGACCTACTTTGGCAGGACCAGTAATGATGAACCAGCTGAACATTAATCCTCACATCATTCCCTCACAAAATAAATAAATAATAAATTATATAATTACATTAATTTTTTTAAATTATAATCTAAATTACAGTCGAACCTGGATAAGTGGTCCCTGGATAAGTGGAATTCCTCTTTAAGAGGAACATTTTTTACGGTCCCTGCACAAGCAATGTAAAATATTGAAAAAACCTGTGTAAGTGGGAAAACGCTACCTCTATAAGTGGAACTGAATTTTTGAAAAATGGCCTCTATAAGTGTAACTTTCTCTTAAAGTTACCTCTATAAGTGGAACGTTCCCTCTATAAATGGAACTTTTGATAACTGTACCTCTATAAGTGGAATTTTTGTAATTTTCATATAAACCATGATTCATCTCTGCTAATTTACTCGATGTGTATGTCATAGTTACCATCAGAGTGTTAGTCATTGTTGTTAGTTAGTGCTTCTTTTGAAAAAAGTGACGACGAAGAGGAAAACTCGAATGAAAAACATGAAAAATTCATACACAAGACACATAACACTCTAACACAAACTACGTTAAATGAATTTCTTACTTAAGTACTATTTACTTTTGTCTTTTTAAATGAAATATAATTGTAAAAACATATGTAAAAACCTCAAAACGAATAAACCTCTTTAAATGGAACTAGACCTCAATCGACCTGGTTAAGTGGAATACCTCCATAAGTGGAACAAAAATTTCGGTCCCTTCAGGTTCCGCTTATCCAGGTTCGACTGTATTTGAAGAAAATATAATGTATAGTAAATTGTTAAAAGCATAATATTTGTCAATACTGTTTAATTTTTAATTTAAAAAAAAAATTTTACTTGTGTAAAAGGATCACAAATATTTTCTGGTACACTGAAACATCCACTTTTTGATTGCACTGTAATGACGACTGAAACAAATATTTTTGTATTAGTAATTTATTATACAATTATTATTATCAACTTTTAAACACGAAGAGAATGCAATTTCAACGAAAAATCTCGGGGGTAACGGGGAGCGAACAAGGATCCGCTGGGCGCGAGGTACGCACGCTACGCAATCTGCTATACTAACGATATCCATCAAACGAAAAATATAGCAGATATATTTTAGTTCAGTGCTGTAGCTAGAAATTGCATGCTTTATATAAATATTTTTACTATTATCTGCCAAAATACATATTTTAGAATTTTAATTTTTTATAATTTACTGAAAAATAAATTTATACTTGAAATAACAATTTTAATCAGCACAAATTTCATTAAACCATTATTGTATTAAACAATAGATATTTTAAATTTTCTAAAAATTTAAATTTAATTTTTTACAACTTAATTTTTATATTTTATAATTTAAAAATTTTTTAAATTTAGCTATTAATCCACCTATTATTAAAATTATATATTTTATTTAAAAAGATTTTAAAAATTTAATGCATAAAAACATTTTAATTTAAAAAAATAAAAAGCGAAATAAAATATAACCTATCTATTGTTACATCCCAGTAACAAAAATTTTAAAAATATATTAAAATATATTTTATTTATATAGGCATATAATAAGTAGTAAAAATAATAGTAAACAAAGCTTTACTCTCAATCTTTCAAAATTGATAATCTCAAATTGTATCAAATAGCATAGGCTAACCTTTGACTTGAATATCGAAAGCCTGTTGGTAGGCAATTCCTAGAAATTATACCTATGCCATTTGACACTACTACGCACAATACTCTCTAGCAACGAATGGACTTATGACTCATGTATGCATTTAGCAAGGCGCAAGCACAGTTTTCGAGCGTAGTACTATTGGAAGACGCTTGGAGACGATGTAATAGTGATACTTGCGCTATGCGATACAGGATGCAGGTGTCCATCTAAGTTCTGAGAATTGTCTTAATTCTATGAAAGATCTAAGAGTCAAGCTTGGAGATGGGGTGATCTTTGAACTTATTTACTCCCACTGAGGATGATTTTCTAGTATAAAAACCCATGCAAATGCATTGTCATTTGTCATTTGCTCCG